GCTGCCTCCTCCTCCCGCCGCCCCCGGGCTGCGCCGGCGCCGCCAGCCCCGCCCCGCGCCGGCCCCGCCTTCCCGGCCAGGACAATAGCCCTGCGCAGCTCGGAGCAGCTCTGAGCCCCAGGCCCCCGCCCGGGTAGAGGCCAGGCGGCACACCCCACTCAAAGGCCGAAACTGCAGGCAGGAGTGCCAGCATCTGGGAACCAAAAATTCCTCTCTTGAAGTCTCAGGAATATAGACCTCCAAAGCACAGTTTAAACAACAACACAAAAACCACACATAAGAGTGGGATGTGATGGTACATGCCTGTAATCCCAGAGCTGGAGAGGTAGGTGGAGGCGGGTAGATCAGGAGTTCAAGGCCATCTTCAGCTACATGTTGAGTTCAAGGCTTACCTGGGCTACATGAGACCCTGTTTCAAAAGGAAAGAGAGCCAGGGATGGTGGCGCACGCCTTTAATCCCAGCACTTGGGAGGCAGAGGCAGGCGGATCTCTTCGTTCAAGGCCAGCCTGGTCTACATAGTGAGTTCTAGGACAGCTGGGGCTACAGGCCCAGTTCCCTCTTTTCTCAGATCCAGTAGTCTGAGCTCACATCTCTTCTCTCTCAGGACATGAGATCAAGTCTGCCACTCATTCTCCCTCAGACCTAGGCATTCAGTCTTCCTGACTTGATTCCCAAGGGTCTCAGGTATCTGGACCTTCAAATACTTTCTCCAAAGATCAGTGACCAAAGCCCAAGACCTGTTCTTTAAAGATGACTCAGAGGTTAAGAACACTGGTTGTTCTTGAAGAAGACCCAGGTTCGAATCCCAGTACCCACATGGCAGCTAACAACTGTCTGTAACTCCAGTCCCAGGGGATCCAACAGCCTCTTCTGACCTCCTCGGGCATTGCACGACATGGGTGTGCTTACCTACATGCAGGCAGTACACACGTACACATAAAATAATAATAAATAAAAATAAATTTAAAAAAGATGACTCAGGTGTTGAGCATCCTAACCCTTCAAAGATCCAGCACCTCAGAACCACAGTCTGGAGCCCATCCTCACTCTAAGGACCCCAAGTCCTCTTTGCACATCTTCCTTGGGGTTCACTGTTTTGTCTGCTCAAGTGAGTGCAGAATTCAATTTTCCATGGCCAACTGAGGCAGCCCAGTTCCGTGTGGACTTTTAGGTGTATATGTTATGGGTACGTACATGTGTTTGTCTTTCTGTTTTCAACTGTGTGCACATCTGTGTGTGTGTATGTGTGTTTGTTTATATAGATGTATATTAAAAGAGCCTAAAGTGGAGATGTCAGTGCACACCTGTAATCTCAGCACTTGGAGCTGAGGCTAGAAGATTAAGAGTTCCTGAGCCTGGGATAGAGAGATGGCTCAGTGGTTAAGAGCACTGACTGATCTTCCATAGGACCCAGGTTCAGCACCCAGCACCTACATGGTGGCTAACACCTGTTTGGTTCCAGGGGTTTTGACAAACTCTTCTGGCCTCCCTGGGCACCAGACATGCATGTGGTGCACTTATGAACCTGCAGGCCAAATACTCATACACATAAAAATTAAAAATTGAAAATACAGAAGAAACATGAGGAGGGTAGGGAG